GCTTTTAGCTCTGTAGAATTTGCTCCACGGCCTTGCCTCTTACCTGCTATAGCACTTGTGTGCATATCTCTACTGTGGTGATGCTGGCAACCCATGCATGTTTTACTATTTCTCTTCCTTAACCCCTTTCCCCCCACCCTGGCATCCCTTTCAAATGCTCTAAATGCCCGAGGGTGATCACATGACCACTGATACTGGCTGTTACAGTGGTCATCTGATCGGTAGCCAGTCCCTCTGGCTATCAATCATTATTGCATGCAAAGTAACAAACAGAGGGTGCTTGGACCTAGTGCATTACCTTTTAAAAGATCATTTATTTAGTAAAAAAGTGGTAATATACTCATAAAGGAGCAAATATTAAGGGCACATCATGTAAAGTACAGCAAGGTCCAGTCACACTGGATTATATCCATAATGGGACTCCTAGACTTCCAAATGGCTGAAGTGTTTCAAGGACCTGTCTCCTCCTCAAAGCCCTCTGTTTGTTTCTTTGCATGCAGTACTCTTGATCCCCCTGGTCCATTGAGGGCAGCAAGGCGTACAGCTTCTAGACATCCTACTTTGGTTTTAAACCTCTGTGGAGTCCATCCTCCAGGGCAGGAGTATATGCCATTCTCTACCAATCATTATTCCGGACTGGGAGCTGTCTTTAAGAGTGCACTCTTAGACAAACAGATGAGGAACATTTGTTGCTGCCAATGTTTCTGTGCTAACAGGTTTATAACTCTGATCTTCTGCTCCACACAGTGGCTTAGCATGGGTTGCCAGCAGAAGGGGGCAAGGCAAGTATTACGAACCATAACCTGTGAACTGTTGGCACTCTCTGAGTCTCTTCCACCATTAGGAAAATTTTTGCCTTACCTGAGTTCCCCTGTGTGCCGGTCGTTCTCATCCACTCCATGCACCCTCCTAAGGCAGCACTCCACACTCTCTACCCCCACCCTTTCATTGTGCCCCCAACTCAAATCCCCCCATTATGCACCCCAGTACTTTCACCCTCTTGTTGTACACCCCACCTCTATAAAACACCCGTTCCATATAACCCCTGAACCAAGCAGTGCCATGCTACACACTGAGTGACAGCCCACCACTAAGAGGCAGAGAGAGAGGAGGGAGCATGTTACCAACAGGACCAAAATGTGAGTGCACACAGACCACTCTCCTGCCTCTTCTCAACCCCAATCTTTACTAAGAATTTTGTACCCTAGGCCTCTGCTTGTGTGGCTTGGCCATGCTACATCACTAGTTCCACATAATGACCATAATGCAGTATTTTCCTGATTGCAATCTTTCAGGAAAATACTGCATTATGGCCTCTAGACAGAGCTGACAATCAAAGTAACTAAACCTTTTAGACAAAGCACAGGAAAAATTTGTAACATCTGTGGGAATGCTTGTCATGTTTGTCCTACATTTTTTCTTTATAAATAGAATCCTAAATGTATAAGCACACAGATGAAATACATATATGAGGGTTAATTTACCCACCAAATGATCTGTATTTCTGCCCATCTAGTTCTGAAAATTTCACAGCTCTGGCACACAATACGGGCCTGTCTGGCATGACAGAAGACCAGCCTGTTACTGAGAGTAGCAGAATAATGGGTCGATAAAAAGCCAGATCATCTACAAGACAAGAGCATGAGGCAAGGGCCTGGCAGATGTCTAGAAGCCCCAATGAAAACCTTATTGTGCCTGCTTTAAATTGGGGAAATGCAATTGGTCAAAGAAAATAAAACCCAAAAACTTTTTCAGAGCACTCAAAATACTTGTGACTATAAAAATGTAAATTAAACAACTTGTGGAATGAAAACAAAAATCAAGTCCATCAGAAAAAAAAACTATTTCCATAAGCTGATTAAACCACAAAGCCTTAGTCCAGACATTGGAATCATCAGAAGTAATAAAACACCTCTTACTGCCTTTAGTGCTGCTCCTTACAAGATTGGGGTAGTCTACAAATTACATACAAACAAACAAGAAGAGCGCACACTAAGTGCAACAGAGTTAAAGGCATTAATGCTAAAATCAAATACAAGTTTGCCACTCACAAAATTAGAATAGAAAAGACACGTACTCAAGACTCCCAGGATGGATGCCTCTCTGTCTTCACACTTTGTAGTGTAGTCCTGGATAGCAGTGCTGTCAGATGGAGGAATATCTGCAGATGGAGGATGGACCAGAGCGCTGTACACAGGTTGCCATACATATGTCAAAGCAGGTGGAGCAGTGGGCATGGCTACACGTTCAAAGGACTTCCTTCTTTGAGGTTTAGCCTGGGTTCACAATGATGTGTTTCTGTGCGAATTCTGCACTGCATCACAATCGCACCCCGTTCATGCGAACTGCTGTGGGTGTCTATGTTAAGTTAACAACACCCCAAAATAGGTCCCCAAAACGCGTTGCGATGTGCAGAATCAGATTGCATGGGTGTGATTACCCTTGTGATCCGATTCTAGTGCGAACCAAGAAAAAGGGTCCTGCACCTTTTTGGTGCTGATGCGGTGCAATTTGAGCCATACAAAATGTATGGCTCAAATTGCACTGCACAGAATTGGTATTTGATTTGCACAGGAATGCGGTGTGGTTCCTATGCGAATCACATGCGATAAGCCGCACTGCACAAGTATGAACCCAGGCTTAGCTTTGACAAAGAAGGAGGTCCTGTGAAATCCATAGCCATGCCCACTACTCAATCTACATGCGACATCATCCAGGAGATCTGCTGCAACACGCTGTGCCTGACTCTGGTCAGTCCTCCAGCTGCAGCTATTCCTCCATCCAGGACCCCAAGTGTGGACACAGACGGGTCCATGCTGGGAGTGTTCAGTATATGCTTTTTCTATTTTAATTTTGTAGGCGGACAAATTGCATTTGATTTTGACATGAAAGTCTTTAACTTTACTGAACTTAGCGTGCGCTCTTCTTGTTTATTTGTTTAAATGCAATTGGTTAAAGCACTTTACAAAGAAAGGATGCGATAGGCAATAGGTGTCTGATGGGATAGGACATGGCAGTACAGACAGTGCCAACTGGGCATCTTCTCTGTGCCAACTGCAATCTGTATCCATGTCCATTGTAGTTATAAGTGTGTGCAAAACTGCTATTTCGCTTGAGGCTGCATTCTGCCTAAGTCCATTTCTGAATTAACGGGGTGAGAGATTCAGAAAACAATGAACCAGGCAACTAGTATTTTCACAAGCCAACCCCTGTATTCTCTCATGACAGGTTTCCTTTAAAGTAGAAACCTCTTTGAAATAAATATCTTTTAATGCGCAGTGATGAAGAATTAGCAAGCAGAACCATTAGTCAGATTTAATAATAGTAGAAAGGAATTCTGTATATTTTGTCACAATGCTTTTTTTCCCCAGTTCCTATTTCCATGAGTAATAAGTCATGAAATGCATTAGTAAAATAGCATTATAATCTTTTTTAATTCTGAGTACACAATTGATCTAGAGGAGCGTAAAACATGGGTGACAAAATTCCTCACATCTAATGTGAAGAAAGACCTCAGAGGCAGAGACAATGATGTTCATTTCTATAGAAGGGAAAATAAAGGGCTTTTTTTCAATCACATGTACAGGCATTAATGATAAGCTGCAGGCAAGCAGCTAAATACATAGTTTAAATACATATAGGGGAGCTGCTTTACCTATGAAAGGATTTTTGTCTCTGCCCATTCAATTGTACCATGTACACAGGCAGGTCAAATACATTACTTTCTCTGTTACAATCAAAGGATAAGTTTACTTTAAATAAATAAATAGTAGCCTGCAGAGCATTGCACCCTCAATCAGAAGATCACAGGTGCGTTGTCAGGCTCCTTCAGACACTCAGTACAACTGTCTGACAGTTTATGATGTCTCTCCCCAACTATCACTAGTATCAAAGCACTGCAGGGGTTATTTACTAAAACTGGAGAGTGCAAAATCTGGTACAGATGTGCATGGTGGCCAATCGGCTTCTAAGTTCAGCTTGTTCAATTAAGCTTTGACAAAAAAAAAAAAAAAAATGGAAGCTGATTGGCTACCATGCACAGCTGCACCAAATTTGACACTCTACAGTTGCAGTAAATCAACCCCTGTGTGTCTTTTAACCAAAAGTCATATTACCAGTTTACATGCTCCTGTACACAAGAGATTTGCTTTGGGTCTATATCTATGGGAAGCAAGGCCAAAGGGGCAATTTTTCCTCCTCTATTTTTTTTATTAGTTTTCTACATTGCTATTGCCCACACTTCTTCATCATTTTCACATCTCCAAAAGATTTACAGCCATCTTATAAAAGTCTATGTATACACAATGTCAAATAGGTATCAGAATGACCACATTGTGATATATATATTGTGACAGTAGGCAGGTGAAATCACCGGGTTGCGTCCTGGATGGACGATATATTTGTCCAAGGTTCAGGCTTTATGGGGATTTGTACCACTAGAGGGAAGTGCTGAGTCCTTCAGCACTGAGATAATGAGCCCAGCTGAAGGTAGTGGGCTCATTAAACACCTCTATAAAACCTCCCAGAGTGCTTAGGGAGTTGCTCCACCCTGGAACCAGATCTGTGCCTGAACTGTCTGGGGAGCTGACCTGTTACCTGTGTGCAGAGAGACCAAAGCCTGTGTGGCTAGCCTCCAAGTACTAGCAACTAGGTATAGCAGCAGGCTGTACCTAGTGGGTAGCTAGGGAGAAGCTGTTGTTGCAGTAAGTAGCCAAGTTGGCCAGGATTTATTTTGATGTTTCTTTTTGTTTATCCTTTTTTTCTGTAAATATTGTAAATAAATTGCACCTGTTTGTTTTCACCTCCACTATTGTTGTGCTGTGCCTATTTTTTTTGTGTTGTGCACCCATCCAGGGGGTCACACACACCCGCTGCCGAGCTAACCCTGTTACAATATATATACTGTGTATATATATATATATATATATGTATATATATATTATATTGCCAAAAGTATTGGGACACCCCTCCAAATCATGTATAAAATCAAGCACCGAGACATGCAGACTGCTTCTACAAACATTTGTGAAAGAATGGGTCGCTCTCAGGAGCTCAGTGAATTCAAGTGTGGTACCGTGATAGGTTGCCATCTGTGCAATAAGTCCATCCATGAAATTTCCTTGCTACTAGATATCCCACGGTCAACTGTCAGTGGTATTATAACAAAGTGGAAGCAGTTGGGAACAACAGCAGCTCAGTCACAAATTGGTAGGCCACGTAAATGACAGAGTGGGGTCAGTGCACGCTGAAGCGCACAGTGCGCAGAAGTTGCCAACTGTCTGTGGAGTCCAAACTTCATGTGGCCTTCAGATAAGCACAACAACAGTGCATAGAGCGCTTCATGGAATGGCTTTCCATGGCCAAGCAGCTGCATCCAAGCCTTACATCACCAAGTGCAATGCAAAACATCAGATGCAGTGGCATAAAGCACGCCGCCACTGGACTTTAGAGCAGTGGAGTCGTGTTCACTGTAGTGATGAATCATGCTTCTCTGTTTGGCAATCCAATGGACATGCCTGGGTTTTGGTGGCTGCCAGGAGAATGGTACTTGCCTGACTGCATTGTACCAAGTGAAAAGTTTGGTGGAGGGGGGATTATGGTCTGGGGTTGTTTTTTTCAGGGGTTGGACTTGGCCTGTTAGTTCCAGTGAAAGGAACACTTAAGGCGTCAGCATACAAAGACATTTTGGACAATTTCATGCTCCTTTGTGGGAACAGTTTGGATGGCCCCTTCCTTTTCCAACAGCACTGCACACCAGTGCACAAAGCAAGGTCCATAAAGACATGAATGTGCGAGTCTGGGGTGGAGGAACTTGATTGGCCTGCACAGAGTCCTGACCTCAACCTGATAGAACACCTTTGGGATGAATTAGAGTGGAGACTATGAGCCAGGCCTTCTCATCCGACATCAGTGCCTGACCTCACAAATACACTTCTGGAAGAATGATCAAACATTCCCATAGACACACTCCTAAACCTTGTGGACAGCCTTCCCAGAAAAACTGAAGCTGTTATAGCTGCAAAGGGTGGACCAACTCAATATTGAACCCTACAGACTAAAGGCTGGCCATGCACTATACAATTTTCTGTAAAATGTCTGCCCAATTTCCTTTAGATTTACCTTCAACTATGTAGTGCAAGGGCCTGCTTAATTGGATACAATTGAAAGTGTTGTTTAGGTTTTACCTCATATTATATGGTTTTTGGTCAATCTAAAGCAATTTTCTAAAGAAAATTGTATAATGTATGGCCAGCCTAAGACTGGGATACCATTACAAGTTCATGTGCATGTAAAGGCAGCATCCCAATGCTTTTGGCAATATAGTGTATATACACACAAGGGTTAGAAAAAAAATTGGAAACACTACATGATTTGCAGGTGTGAAAGTGATGAAATGTTTTGCATTGAAAGCGGAAGTGATGTATTTTCCTTTTGCTATGTGACGAGACAGTTAACAGGTGGCAAGCCTTCCTTTTGTCATTTGCTGTGTGCGCTGCTAGTAATATGGGACTGAGATTGAGCTCTGCAGTCACTTTTGCAGCAGTTGTTTTCTTATTTTGGGTTACAACCTTGTGCAATGTCCTTTTGTTTCTTTCGGTCATGTTGACTGTGCTTATGCTTATTACACAACGTTTTCCTGGAAACTGTATATGCCATCATAACCTTTAATACTGTACTTCGTGACATGGCAAATAACTTGGCAACTTCAGTCACAGAGGCACCAGCTAAGCAGCAAAAACAATTTGCTTTGAAGCTCAGTAAGCTCTAACATGACTCCGTATTACTAGCACCACATGCAGTGAATGACAAAAGTAAGGATTCCCACCTGTCAGCTAGGTGTCTCATTACACAGCGGAAGCAAAAGAATGTTACATCACTTCTGCTTTCAATGCAAAACATGTCATCACTTTCACACCTGTAAATTTGTAAATTATGTAGTGTTTAAATTTTTGGTCTAACCCTTGTGTATGTATGTGTGTGTGTGTGTGTGTGTGTGTGTGTGTGTGTGTATATATATATATATATATATATATATATATATATATATATATATAGTGATATGGAGGTGTTTAGCTCTCGTTGTAGATGCATTTTGTACAGTGAGTCCATAGTAGACAGGAACTATAGTTAAGGGCCGCAGCAATAACCTCAACCAAACGTTTCCTGTAGTTGCAGATCAGACCTGCACAACGATCTGGAGTAATTTTGGACCACTCCTCTTCACAAAACTGTTTCAGTGTAGCAATATTCTTGGGATGTCTGGTGTGAATCGCTCTCTTAAGGTCATGCCACAGCATTTCAATCGGGTTGAGGTCAGGACTCTGACTGGGCCACTCCAGAAGGCGGTTTCTGTGCTTTTGCAGCCATTGATTTGTTGAATTACTTGTATGCTTTGGGTCATTGTCCTGTTGCATCACCCATCCTCTGCGGAGCTTCAGTTGGCGGACAGATGGTCGTACGTTTTTCTGCAAAATGTCTTGATAAACTCTGGAATTCATTTTCCCATCAATGACAACAATCCGTCCAGGCCCTGAGGTAGCAAAGCAGCCCCAAACCATGATGCTCCCTCCGCCATGTTTTACAGTGGGGATGAGGTTTTGATGTTGGTGTGCTGTGCCTTTTTTTCTCCACACAAAGTGTTGTGTTCTTCCCAAACAACTCGATCTTGGGTTCATCTGTCCACAGTATATTTTCCAGTTTCCTCCCACACTTCAAAGACATGCTGGTAGGTTAATTGGCTACTCTCGAAAATTATCCCTATTATGTGCATGTATGAATGGGAGTTAGGAACCTTATACTGTACGCTCCTTGAAAGTTAGGGACTGATGTGAATAAACAATATGTATATACGCAACTTGTTCTGAAAAACTTTTTCTATACATCACTTTGTTTTGGACTTCATTATGTAATATAAAAACCTTTTATACTGACTTCTAGTGTCATCCAGTGTAACTACAATTTGTTTATTATTGTATTGCTGAAATGGTACCATTCAGTTTACCTATGTGTTTTGGTTAGATGGTTTAGTCCTTAGATGCCTCCCTTCTTCCTTAGTTAGTTTCCAGCCTTCATAGTGGAGGCAAGGTGAAGAGGATCATTGTGCCTTTACACTTTGATTTGCCCAGTGAACACCATGTATTACATTTTATCAAGTAAAACTACATTGCAATAAACTGAAGTGTCTCTTTGAAGAGTTAGGCTGTCCGTGGAGGCCGCTTATTAAGCAGGTCAAAATAATGTCCGGATGGACCAACATCTAAAAGGGGTACTGTATGTCAAGGCATAAAGTAGCGCTTGAACACAAAACAAACTGTTGCCCAATATTCACACATTTACACATACAATTCAATTAGAAAAATGCGAGTAATCTTGGTTAAATTTTTGAATATTGGGAGTGCAACTAAGGGGAAATGGGGGGGGAAGGGTCTCAGGGGGCTCTTTCCAAAAACATTATCACTGTTCTGCCTGAGCAAGGTGGCATTAGGGTTGATTTCCTAAGACTCCATGTACATGGGATGTTTGGAAAACACTTCTGAACGAAGGAAACTGACCGCTGGAAAATGTAGGTTAAAAACGTCTGTTTAGCCGCATTTATGAGCATTTGCATTTAGAAGCGTTTTTTTAAGATAACTTCAGGAGACCTTCCAAAATGCCCAGAATGCACTAAAAAACAGTAAAAGATTAACTATTTCAGACATATAGAGAGAGCAGAAACAGAGAGAGCAGTATTTGTTGAGATTAGTTGTCTTTTTTTTGTGGTGTTTGGATGTGTTCCAGCTCATTTCTGTGCAGAAATTATTGCAGCAGTGTCTAACATTTTCTTTCATGCGAAACCTCAAAGTATGGTGTACCAGGTCCATTTGAGTACTGGGAAAAAGCTTTGCATGCATTTTTCATGATGAAAAAAGGCTCTGCACAGCATCTGGAAATGGAAGAGTTAAAAAATGTTTCCAAATGCAAAGACTTATAAACATGGTTATTGCGTTTACAAGCGTTTGGCGTTTGAAACGCTGATAAAATCTACTCCTGAACACAAGTTTGGTGAGTTAAAAAAAATGACTGTAAACTCAACTGCCTATAAATGACATAGTGTAAATGGACACATAGGGAAACATTAAGGTGAGTTCAGGGGCTGCTGAAAAAAACGCAGAAAAGCTCCTAAACGTGAGTTTATCAGCTGCAGTGTACATGGAGCCTAAAACTGGAGAGTGCAGCTCTGCACAGAAACCAATCGACTTCCAGGTTTTTTTTTGTCAAAGCTTAAATGAACAAGCTGAAGTTAGAAGCTGATTGGCTGCCATGGACAGCTGCACCAGATTTTTCACTCTCCAATTTTAGGAAATCAACCCCATTGCATATTTAAAGAAACAAAACATTGAAAATGTGTATTTATTTCAGAGATGTATTACATTTTTTTATTTTGCCAAAACATATAATAAGTAGTAAGTGTGAGATCAGCAGCAGTTTAAATGGTAATATGTATTTTTAGTGGTCACACCCAGGGGCGGACTGACCATTTGGAAACTCGGGCACTGCCCGAGGGCCCGGGGTCAGTAGGGGGCCCCATGAGATGCCCCTGGTACCTTTTTCATAGGCTTTTTTGAGTTGGGCAAGGACACAGGGGCCCCATGATCCCCTATTGCCCGGGGCCCCATGAGTTGTCAGTCTGCTCCTGGTCACACCTTTAACATATCTTCTGTTGATACAGAATGCTAGGCTGCTATGATCTAAGGAATATTCCTTTCTTCTGAATTGTTAGAGTGCACACATTGACTCCTTGCTGCTCTTCACCGTGTTAAGTAGTCTAAGCTGACTATTGCAGAAGATTTGATTGACAGGTGAGCACGCTGCCATGCGATGTAGCCGCGTCTATGATTGGCAGCTGTGCTTCAGATCATCAGTCCGCAGAGTGGGGATACATAATCAGATGGTGACACACCAGCTCCTGGAGCAGAGCGCAGTCATAAAGTGCAGCAGGCTACAATAGCAGAGTGCAGTCAAGTGTGATCAGATCAGTGAAAACCAAATTAATGTGACCTCTTCCGTGACCACTGCCTGTGTGGCTGCAGTGTATACGTTCTGTTGTATAGAATACTCCGCACCTCTTTTATTTTTTTACAAATGTGTCTTAAGTCAAAGGTTTTAGCAAATTATGCATTTGAGAACTCTGTTCTGTAAAAGGTGGGAAACTATTTTGTTTTCAAAGTATTTACAGGAAAAAAAGATAATAATAAATAGGATATATTTTTTTCAGGTAAAGAATATGTAAACCCAACATTTCATAGTCCTGATATGTGCCTGCTGCACCATGTACTTGTATGAAAAAGTCTCCTGTTCTCTTTGTATTGCTTCCTTTGTGTGAAATCCCTGGTGTTCCTGCCATTCCCTCTGCTTTCCTTTTAAAAACTGACCACACTAGGCAGGAGAGCACAGTTTTTGGCTGTGCTGAGAACTCAGCCTGCTTTCCTCAAATGATCAGACTTCTGCACACCCATTCAATAAGAAGATCAGCATGCTGTTGTTTCTCCTCCCTGTGCTCCTTATACAGCTGAAAACAAAGGGTTTTCATCACTTAGAAAAAGGGGAACAAGGTATTTAGAATTTTTTTATACTTATGTATACACAAATGTTTTCTCTTTCATTTCTATTTCAAAATCAATGGGTTGGTTTACAAGGTGAGGGTTCACAAAAACTTTAAATCTGGTGTCTAGGGAGGCGTCTGTTTTATCTGCCAAACATTTTGTATTTTTGTTCAGACA